ATGGCTCTGGACCCTGCGCCCCCGGAGCCCGGCAGGGGAAGTGCCCGGCCGGTGGCTGGGGTCCGGAGGCCTGGGGGCTGCCCGAAGCCGGTAGCGCTCGGGCAGCTCGGCTTTAAACAGAGCAGAAGAGTCAGGGGAGGAGCACAGCAGCCGCGGGAGGGGAAGTGCCCGGCTGGCGGTATTTTTCCTGGACATGTGCCGGAAATGACTGGGAAAAACCGGCCGTATGGTAATCCTAATTCCTGGCAAAGACGGCACTGCTGCAGGCCGTGAAGGACTTCGCTCTCCGGGGCTGTGCGGACCCCTCGGGCTGCAGCGAGCACACCGGCTACCCGCCCGTACCGCCCGCCCGTACCGCCTGCCCGTGAACAAGACCCCTGGTGAGGAAAGCTGGCGGGGGGTGGGGTGGGGGGAGCGAGCCCCACGGAAACAGGCCTGGCGGATTGGTATCACCAGGGGGCTGATAACACACAGCAGCCATGTGGCGCTCGCCCAGCGGGGTCTCGAGTGGACCCACCACACGGCCTGGTGGAGCGAGGCTGAGGGGCCGCTGGTGTGTGTTACACGGGGGCCGGGGACGCACGGCCCGGAGGGGGAAGCACAGGCCCTGCCCGCCCCGGCTCCAGCCAGTCCCAGCGGCCTCGGGGCCGCTCGGGGCAGGGGAGCTGCGGCCTAGCCAGAGAGCGAGCCCGCCCCGTCACACCCAGGGAAGGGGCATGGTCCCCATGGCGACAGCGATCCCCCAGCAGGCACCGCGCCATCCCGTGTGGCATGCAGGGTGCCCGAACGTCATCACGCTGCGAACGTACGTCCGGATGGTGGCTAGTAACCCGGAAGTGTTGCCATGGCGGCAGCTGCGGACCCGCTCAGCAGCCTGGTCTCGGTGCTGGAGTCGTACCGGGGCCGCGACCGAGTGGTGCGTGACGCGCTTCTCCCCCCCCCGGGCGGCGGGGTGCAGCGGGGCGGTCGGGTTCCCGGGGGGGGGCACTGGGCCGTACCGTGGCTCTAACCCTCCCCTTCCCCCCAGATCCGGACCCTGTGCTATGGCTGCCAGCTGGCCGGGGGGGTCCTGGCCCGGAAAAGCCCCACGGAGTCAGAGATGGGCAGGAGGCTCCTGGCTGTGTCGGCCCAGCTGAGCCACTGCCGGACGGTGCTGCGCCTCTTTGACGATCTCGCCATGCTCGCCTACAGCCGCCAGTACGGGCTGGGTGCCAAGGTAACCAGCCCCTTCTGCCCCGTTCCCCAGGCCTGGGAGGTTGAGCCACTCCCCCCAGGAGGTGCAGGCCTGCCCCCCTCTCCCCTGGGATCGGGGTAGACAGGGCACGCAGGGCTGTGGGAGACCAAGGGCCCTGTGGAGCTTGACATCCAAGGGCCTAATCCTGCAAAATGCTGAGCTCTCCCACGCTGCTGCCTGCGAGGAGGAGGCGCGTGCAGGTGATGGAGGCCATATAAATACCTAGACATCTGGTCCCCTTGCAGGCTTGGGCCTGCTGTGCATTGTTACCTAAGTTGTAATGACCTCGCCTGTGCCCAGGGGCCTCAGCTACCATGTATTTCTCTGAAGTATTTGTATTATTTATTTGAATTGTGGTATTCCCCATTGGGCTCAGGCCCTGTTGCACTGAGTGCTGTCCAGACCCCCAGGAAGACATGGGCCCTGCCGCCGTTGGCAGCTCGCACTCTAAGAAATCTTTACAGTTTTCCACGGCTGTGCTAAGATCCAGTGGAGTTTCAAAGTGAATGCTACAGACAAGATCGTGCTTAGGCTCGCTTTCTCAAGCTTGCAAACTACCCTGTTCACTAAAATGTATTTTGGACTAAGCACATTCCAAGAAATGGTATTTGTAAACTTCACTGTTCTTTGTATTTCAAGACAAATACAGGCTTTCTCGTGTAACTGCTATAGAAGTGCAAGCAACTGCAGAAGTGTGGGACCCTGGCCTAACTCTGTTAGGGCCACGGATGTCTCTGGTTCCAATCCAGCCTTCACTTCCAAGGCCTATCTCTTCTACCCTTCCCATCATCTTGCAGTAGCAAAAGGTTGACTTCTACTTCTCAGTGGCTTATAATGCCAGCCTTCCTCACCCACTTGTTACATTTTCAAACAACCACCTTCCTGTTTGCTCCAATGTTGCCCCTCACATGGAAGGCACGCTCTGTAAACGTAAAGCTGCCTCATTATCCACCTTCAAATCTCTCCTTAAAACTCTTCTCTGGCATGATGCTTACAAAAAACTTGACAGCAGCTAGATCACTGGTGTGCTGAGACCACAGTCTATTATAGTGACCAATTGCATCTCATTATTTCCTTTTACTCCACATCTGTTTCTAGCCCTTGTGTCTCTTCATATTCTGAGATTGTAAGCTCCTTGGGGCAAGGACTGTACTTTTGTTCCTAGCACAGTGGGCTCCATAATACAAATAATAAATTATAACAGAATAGCAGCCTCCAGGGCTCTCACTCCCTCACTTTTCATCGTCATGAAATGTTTATTTTTTAAACAACAACAAAATAGGCTGAGAGCAAAAACCTTGCTGGCCTTTGTGGAAATTCCTGCAGAGATGTCCCTTGCTGGCTCAGCTGAGAGTCCGTGCTTGATGGATATTCATCAGAAACTGTGTGCAAGATCATTGCCGTATGTTGGATATAAAATACAGGATATGTTAGTGATGTGCTTGTTTTCATTCTCAGGAAGAGGTAAGCTTGTTCTCAGGGCTGCAAGGAAGCTGGATTAGCAACGCTGCTGCAAGGTGCAGTGTACAGTCTAACCTGTGGTGTTTATGCAAGAAAGCAGCCAGTATTAAGTTCTTGCCTGTCTCTGTGCTACAGGAAGAAGATACCATTGTCCGCTGGCTCTCTGTCCTCAGTAACCTGGCTGATCAGCTCTACTACCCCTGTGAGCACGTAGCATGGGCTGCTGACGCTGATGTTATTCGCACAAACTCACACAAGTGGTGGACATTAAGCACAGCTTTCTGGGGGCTCTCCCTTGTCCTGGGCATTGTACGGTAATGTTCACTAGATGCAGCTCTTAAAGGGGCATGAGGCGAACACTCTCTCTGCTTCTGGGGCCTGGCAGAAAGGCCTACTGGCCACAGATCTTAGGAGGGGCTTTGGCTGCTCCTGGGGGCTGGGCAATGGAACACTGTGGCTTTGGATTATCTACTAACCTTGTTGTTACTCTTCTGAAGTTTTAACAACTCCTCAGAATCAGAAGCCTTGGCGTCCATCTTCAGAAGCAACAAGGAGTCGGGTGGCACCTTAAAGACTAACAGATTTATTTGGGCATAAGCTTTTTGTTTTTGTAGATACAGGCTAACACAGCTACCCCCTGATACTTGACACCATACATCTTCAGAAGGAAGTTGTACTATTTGTAACAGACACCCTGGAAACTAAGGGGATTTTGAGTGATCCTAAAATATAGTGCTAGAAATCCTCCTAGCCTGTAGGGTATTGGTAAATCCTCAGAGGTGACTATTACTATATTGCTAAATAATCATGAGACTTTTCTAGTCCAGAGACAGTCTGCTGACCCACCCACCAGGACGAAAAAATAAATATCTTCCTCACCCATCAATGTATTCCTTGTTGTAGGGGAAAAGGCAAATAAAAATTTGCCAGGCTGAGCTAAAGCTCTGCCTTAAAAGGGGCTTGCAAAAGTATGTGGGGAAGGATATGGGACTGATGCCCTTTTTTTTGGCTGCCTTATGAGTGAAGGCCTGGAAGATTTTAAGTTTTCTTCGTCTTCTATTTTACACTAGAGATTCAGTTCTTGTATATGTTTCGAGGAAGACTGAGCTGGCACATCTGCTGTTTCTAAAGTAAAAACAACCAGAATTGCCCCATCTCCTCTTCTGACAATAAAAACCCTTTAAGATGGCTTTCTTTTTTTCTGACACCTAAAGGACACACATACTTCCAGCCACACCCAGTTTATAGGTCACCTTATGTGAGCTGTTTCCTAGTTACGTTGTTTATCCCATCTAATGAAATAGCAAATGGGGAAAACAGTTCAGTTTCCGACACAAGCAAATGAGGCCAAGTGGGAAAACATGGGAATCCTGAAAGAGCCTTCCCTTCCGTTAGCCAGATGTTTAGCTGGTTAATATGATTCAATTGTAAACTGAATTGGACTCTTACTGTAAAATTATCTCAAGATAGTTTTGCCCCATTTTCTTTTTTCTTGCTGCAGTAAGTGAATCCTCTAGTTTCCACATTGAGTTAACTTTCTGCTATTACCACTTAAGAAAGTGTTCCTGGAGTAATTGTGGATAGTTCTCTGAAAACATCTGCTTTAATGTGTGACAGCAGTCCAAAAAGCTAACAATGTTAGGAACCATTAGGAAAGGGATAGATCATAAGACAGAAAATATCATAATGCCACTTAATAAATCCATAGTACGGCTGAACCTTGAATACTATATGCAGATCTGGTCACCCCATCTCCAAAAACATACATTAAAATTAGAAAAAGTTCAGGGATGGGCAACAGAAATGATTAGGGGTATGGAACAACTTCCACATGAAAAGAGATTAAAAATACTGGGACTGTTCAGCTTGAAAAAGAGACAACAAAGGAGGCTATGATAGAGGTCTATAAAATCATGAGTGGTGTAGAAAAAGTGAATAAGGAAGTGTTATTTACTGCTACACGAAACAGGGTCACCCCCAGTGAAATGTATCAGAGGGGTAGCCGTGTTAGTCTGGCATCTGACAAAGTGGGTATTCACCCAGGAAAGCTTATGCTCCAATACGTCCGTTAGGTGCCACAGGACTCTTTGTTGCCTCAGTGAAATGAATAAGCTGCTGGTTTAAAACAAACAGCCTGACGTACTTCTTCCCACAATGCCATATAGATGCTAGGGTTGCAAATTTGATTGGACAGATTCCTGGAGGTTTCATCACATGACAAATATTTAATTAAAGATTAATCTTTAATTCCTGGAGACTCCAGGACAATCCTGGAGGGCTGGCAAGCCTACGCAACGCACAGTCAACCTGTGGAATGTGTTGCCAGGGGATGTTGTGAAGGCCAAAAGTATAACTAGGTTCAAAAAAGAAGTAGATAAAATCATGGAGTATGGTTCATCGGTGGCTATTAGCCAAGATGGTCAGGGATGCAACCCCATGCTCTGAATGTCCCTAAACCTCTGACTGCTAGAAGCTGGGAGTGGCTGACAGGGATGGATCACTTGATAAATTGCCTTTTTCCATTCACTCCTGGAGCATCCAGCACCAGCCACTGGCAAGCAACAGAATACTGAGCAAGACGGCCCATTGATCTGACATAGTATGGCCGTAATTATGTCCTTGTGCATTAGTAAAATCAAACTTTCCACATTATTCTCCTTTCCACATGGAGAAGGAAGAATTCTCTGAGTTGTAGTGAGGGGCTGAAACCCTACTACTTACCCAGTAAGCCCTGATCTAAGAGCTACATTAATCCATACAATTTTAAAAGGGCATTTTATTCCAGCTAGTTGAGTAGCTTGAACGTTACTCCAGCTGCTTGCTCCACGTAGAAGCTCTGGTGGCAGATTCAGACAAACTTCCTCTGCAAAATTAGCTGTAAGCAACTTTACAGCTTTGAAGGACATCAGAATCTTCTTTCCCTGGTAGGGCCCCAGCAGTTGTTTTTGCTGCATGATCGATGTTATTTAAAAAAAATCTTCACTAAGGACAGTTTATTGTCCCTGGCCCTTTTATTCCATATTCCTTACATTATTTAGAAGCCCAAAGTTCAGGTAAATCTAGAAAAATTTGTAGCAAGCTTAGAATTTGGTTTTGATCAGACTGGCAAGAAAGAATTTGAGCTCTTGAGAGGGAGAGTACCATGCTGCTTCTGATCTAGCCCGAGGCTAACCCCCTGTAGCTTATCATGGTTGTAGAACAATGCTTTTCCATCCCTGTAGGCAATACAACCTGTTCTAACAAGGATGCCTCTACCCATGGCAAAGACTAGTGCTAGCATTTGGTGGTTCTTATTAAGATGGACCCTTAGCATTCAAGGGGTGATGGTGTCAGAGTCTCTCTTGGTCACAGACAACTTGGACTCTTACCGTCATCTCTCTCTTGTTTTCAGGTCTCTCAGAATTCTGTTTCAGCTAAGAAGGAAGCTGAGAAATTGCACTGGGTATGCGTTCTGTCCTATGTAATAGAGTCGTTTTAACACATACTCCTTATCCCCTGAAGTAGCTCACCCAAGGTGACAC